ACCTCCTTTCCTAGTGATAGCTTCAAGCTCTAGAAAAAAACAAGAACAAGAAGAACAATGATCATATGACTACTGCAGTAGCTAGTGATTACCGCCTGTGAACCGACAAGTCTGATCAGTACTATTCTCAAGAAGCAGCAGGACCATTCGATTTACGCACGCCAACACATCCCCTTCTTGCCTCACTTTACTGAGCTTTGGCTTGGGTATCGAAGCCCCTGAACTCCAGGGGAGCGCGAGTATGTTGCCAGCACGTATATGAAAGAGCCTGGCTGAGAAAGTTAGCTGCCTCTGCAGCCGTCCCTCTTTCTGGTTTGCCATGAGGTAACTTGTCGCCCCAAACTCTCAGCCACTTACTGACGTAGTCCCGTGACTGGATACGGCTATTGCAACGGCTCAGTACTCAAGGCTCATGACTCTGGGCTGCTGATTGGCAAAGACTGCAGAGTCGGGATGCAAGAATGCAGACCCGCATGCTAGATTCCCTGACTCCGACAGCCGTAGAGATAAATTCAACGGATTTGCTCTGATTCTTTCACCGCCACTTAAAACTGTTCGGGTCAAAATATGCCACTGGGCCAATTTCCGAAATCACAGAGTTATCTTCTCTTTTGTGGTCTATTATGAACAAATATTTCGTATATCACTCAAGCTAGTGAAACTTCACATACATTTCAGCCTGAACGGCCCAAACAAAATCCCTGGCTCCCGGCGTCGTCCCCGGCGCCGTCCCCGGCGCTAAAATACAGCTCCCATCAGAAAATCTGGAATACAGCATCGTAGCTGACTTGAACATCTCGGATGAGTTGGACACCTGGGTCGATTCTATCTTCGCTTGGGTTGAAGTCATCTGGGTCGGTTCCACCACCACCTGGGTTAATAGGATGAACATATCCACCCAGAGGGTAGATAGGCACACCACCATGGGACGTTTCCACCGTCATCTGGGTTGGTTGGTTGAGTATCATCTGGGTTGGTTGGTTCAGTACCACCTGGGTTTGTACCACCTGGCAGCTGACCAGCTTGACTCGAAATAAAGTCAAATAGTTGACCCACGGCGGCATAAACGGCGGGAAACTGCTGGTCTGCACAACCCAGGCCCCAGGAAACTACACCTTCAAGCTCTCCAGTACTGGCATCAAGCAATGGCCCGCCACTGTCTCCAGAGCAAGAATCCTTGCCTTGTGCCTTTGCGCATACCATATTTCCCGTGACTGCCAAGTTTCTCCATTGATAAATTTGTTGGCATTGAGGGTGGGTCATCGAATTGACTTCGACTTCTCTCTTCTTCGTAGGAGGGGGTAGTCCGCTCGGACTTCCGGGTTGTATCTGTCCCCTAAAACAAAAAGTAAGAATGTGTCCCCTACAGATGGAGACGGGAAGAAGAGCTAACTACAACATACCAGCCAGCTACCCTTTTTTGGCCCGGTTTAGGGTAGGTGCCCTCTTGCGCTAATTTGGCGAATTCAACCGCTGCATTTTTATTGACTGGTGGTGATATTTTCAATATAGCCACATCATTATCGTGTGTGGTTGGATTATACTGAGGGTGTCTTATGATATCAATTACGCCAGAGACCTGGCCTCCAGTTGTGCGATCCTATATAGGATGTTGTCAGGGACAAGAGCTACCTAGCACAAGTCGTACTTCCCAACTAGCAATACAAATGAAAAGATGCAAAACGTACATTTGATCCAGCACGAACTTGAAGTTGTTGGAGCGGCTTTTCAAAACAATGACTGGCTGTGAGGATGGTATCCTCATTCAGGAGCGAGCCACCGCAGAAATGCCGGCCACCGCTCGATAATGAAACGAGAAAGGGAAAGGAACCCTCGGGGGAATCTACCCCCCCCACGATCTTGGGGGAAACGTCTCCTTCTAGCGGTAGGGCAGTCGCCGTTTGAGCCGCCAGTGTCGCAATTGCGGCTGCAACAGTTCCCTTGAGCAGCATGTTGGAGATGGAGAGCCGTCTCTGTTTTCTGAATATAATGAATGAATAAGTGAATGTAGGAGCTGCAAGATACTTTGACAACAGAGCGCGAAAAGATTTATATATAAATTCGCTTCGCTTAAGACGCATGGATAAATTCTGACTTGTCATCTAAAGTACCCAGCGCGAAGACAGCATTGTGGATATGTGCTTTAGACGAAACAAGCTTCATTATAGCATAGATTCCGTTAGATTTGGCATAACGGATCATATCATAAAGCGAGGCTATAGATGAAACGCCATGTGTGTAAAGTGGGTAATTAAAGCCATCTCGTCTTGCTCTGGCCGCTTGTGCATGATCAAGTATTTTGAGATGGCACCGGTGAAGGGCCGATGCGGTTGGCATCATGCTGAGGACAAGACCGGGACCGGAGACCGCAGCATCTTGACGTTGATTGGGCGCTGGGATGCCGGCGGCCGGGTCGAAGTGGAAAACCACACCAGCTGATACCGTGGCGTATGGCAGCTGCACTAACAACGGCGGAGGAACCTCCTATCGCAATATTGAAGGGGTCACTCATGACTAGTATCAATGTGTTACGTTAATGCTAGAAAACCCTGATGAGGGCATAACAGATGACACGCACAGCAATGTGTGGAGCCAAGCGCCCCTTTTAAAAACGGCGCACACAATCGTTTCATTTATAGCTAGTTATGGACTTGACTTCCATCATCTTCTGCTGTGTGACACCTCCAGACGTCCTCATCACAGCTGAGATGTGAAGATGCCAACAATACGCGCTATCGGCTGCGTACCAGGTTTGATCCTTTGCGTGCGGTGCGGCCCCGGCATCGTGCTGTTCCAGGGCTCCCAATAGTCCAAACAGTCCGTCTGAGAGCCTCAGACTGGTCGTTTAGTCCGTCTAGCTTGAACAGACCAAACTGACAGTCCGTGCAACTTGTCCCGACCAAACCATCAGTCTGCCATACAAAGTCCAAACTGAACTAATGGTTCGTCCACCTCCCTCAGACTGGACTACACCAAAACTCGTGGTGTGGACTAATAGTCTGAAACATAAACGCGTGATTTATGGTAATTTTGACTCGTTAAGCGCACTGTGAGGAGAATGGTCCAGATGAACATGGGCGAAGACATGTATACTAAGTTTGCCTCCATGAACAGCGGAAGATTAGGGCTCTTCTTCAAACAATTGCCAATTTAGGACCGTTGCAGCCAGCTATACAATAATTACAACAATAGGGTTTGTAAATACGCCTTGCGTTGCAACCAAACCAAGCCATTTGCTTATTTCTATGCCGGTCCTGCTCCCTTTTTTAACATGCCTTTTTTGCCTCACTTTCGCCTTCAATTTTGTATTCTTAGCTATCTTGGGTCGTATGATCGCCTGCTTGATCTACGTAGCAGCACTGGGTCCACCGTTAGATGAAATGGACATTCTAGTCAGATATTTAGTACTTACATCGGAGGGCAATATCAGAGCGCTCCGGTCCCAGGAGCGCAAGCATTCCACAAGATCCAGAGTGTCAATATTCATGGATCCTCGAACATCGGTAACCGTGAGTTTTGCTTTGGAAAAGAGACGCTCTGTCTCCGTAGACATAGGCGGGATTGACAGGATGTCGATTGCCATTAATGACAAGTTGGGAAACCGTCCCCTCTGAGCCGGTTCTAGCCACCATTTCAAGGGATCTGATACAGTCATCACGGGTTCGCGACAATACACCTCGTATTCATCATCATCTTTGTTAAATATTGTGGACTTCTGTTCTTTCATCCACATCTTGTACCCGTTTAGCCGCTTTGTAGTGCAATCTTGCGGTGGGCTTGGTCGAAGAATGGGACAGGAACTTGTAGATTTGTACGTCTCCCTCCACAGCTGCCCTACACGCTCTTTGGCTTTCTCAATCCACTCAAGCTTGTCTTCCCAAGTTCTTTCCATGTACGCCCACTTCAGTGAAGGGTTCAAGACGATCGCTGCCGAATAGACTGGTGAATCTTCCGTCAATTCATAATAGTCGGCCAATTTGGCCCAGGCGGTCTCCATCATTGTAGCCAAGTGAGGAAGGGTGGTCGCCGTCTTGGCCGCCTCAATATGATGCAGAAGGTAGTCCATGGTAGGTAGCACGTCCGAGATCGAGTCCCCAATACCTTCGTTTGCCACTGTAGCATCGTAAAAAGGCTCGAGGAATTTGTGAATCTCGGCCAAGGTTAACCAGTCAGGCTGAGTCAAAGTGTCATCCTGAAGAGCCGGCTCTTGCGCACAAAATATGGTCACAGCTTGCCGTATTTTTGGTCTAAGGGCCCATGCAACCATTTTATACCACGAGTTCCAACGAGTGTCGTTGTCACGCCGTAATCTGAGACCATCGCTGAGGGTCGTAAAAGTTTGAAGCCTCTGTGGCGTCCAAGTGATGTATACTACAATATTGTGTAGTTTTCCTATTGCCCCTCGTTTTCTCCAGTTTTCAACTTCCTCCTCGGATGGTCCGGAATAAAAACCCGTAGTGAGCGGTCGCTTTCCGAGGAGAAATTCCATCACGGCTAGGCAGATGATGTGACCAACACAGCGCAGCCGGTGAGGAAGTGGATCGTAGAAAACGTCAAACTCATGCTCCAAGTCGTCCGAGATCTTGTCAATTATTGTGTTCATGTTGGTCGCGTTATCCATCATAAAATATCCAACCTTCGACGCTATGCCATATTCTCGTATAAACTCCATGATTGCTTCTGCCATGTTCTCCCCGCTGTGTTGTCCCTCCAGTTCTTTAATCCTCACTACCAAGGACTGCAGGCCATGATCCTCAGTAACAAATTGAACTGTGAATCCAATTACGCCCAGACAATTCGGCGACGTCCAATTGTCGGGCACAACGTGAATAGATGAGAGAGCATTCTGCAGCGCTCTTTTTACGACCTCCTTCTTCTCCTCGTACCCCTTTTGCAAGTCATTTTTGACTGTAGAGCCAGACATAGGGAGGATATCGTCTGCAGCAGGACAGATATACCGGATAAAGTCACGGAACGCAGGCTGCTCGATATGAGAAAAGGGAAGGCTGCAGGCGACGATGTAGCGACAGTACAGCTCGCGTATAGTCGCCTGATCAAGTGCATCTGCCTCTTGTGTAACCTTGCGTTTTTTGTTCGAGTGCATGGTTTCTTGCGCAAGGAAGGTGGTGATGTCTCCCAGGCGGTTCTGTGTTCTTCCCCTCCTAACCTCCTCTTTTCCATGTATGATGATGTTGTGCTCCCTACGCAAATGGTGAACAATAGTTGATGATCCACCAGAATAATTGTATCTCTTTTCACGTTTCTTGTCGAAGCAGGGCTGGCAATGCCACCATTTCGTCCCTTTGGAATCGATCCAGGCCGCTGGCAGTACCTTCCCATCCTCTACCCGACAGTAACGCCAGATGGGAGACGTCCTCTGACGTGACACACTGAGAATCGAGGAAGGAGACGATGCGAAGGACGGCGGAGTCATGTTGAGATCGGAGTCATCTGAGAAACTGCCGCTTCTCGTGAGTCTCGCGGTATCTGAGAGATCTGCAATGGACAGCATAATAGACAAAAGGCCGTTGGTCAACCAGAAATGGTGAAAAAAAGAGGGAGTCATGTGTGAGGATAGCCATGTTTTCGGGCGCGTTTTTCTGTCGCACTCGAGCCTTTTGATTGAATGTGCAAGGCATTAACACCAAAGATCGTGGAAATTCTCTCTCCTCTTTTCGAACCACTGAAAGCTGCTCGAGGGACGCGATGCCAAACTCTCGACTCGATGGGATGAAGAGCCTCCAATCGTTGCGCACGCGACTGGTGAACTTGCGGCTTCGCCCCGCTAGCGAAGCGTTGGTGGGCAGCTGCTAACCAACCAATTGGGCCACTAAAAACGGCGCGCCACGTTTAACCTGCATCGTGAGTTTCCTGTCTGGCACGGATGCGTGTTGAAAATGAGAAAGGTATTCTCAGAAGTTTGACGAGCAAGTGACAAGGCCTACCCTGAACACTCAAAAGATCTTAACGATCGATTAAAAGTCCTTTACGAACGATCATCAGTTGGTTAGTCATGTTTTTAGGAATTTTTATTTTACGGTTTGTGCAAGTTACAGTTAAAGCAAATGATTGAGATCTCCAAAAGTCATGACATGTGTGTTCATCCTGTGTATTTGAAAGGCGAGGCAAAGATATTATTGACTAAAAAGGGCCAGATAGATTTCATGAAGCTATCTAATACTAGAGCTTCGACAGACAGTTGACTGTCGTCCGGAGAAACCCACTTGACGCGCCACGCGCCACGCGGCTGCATCGCGTCGCGCGTCTGCCTAACTAATAGTCAGACTATTAGTGTTCCATTTCCAGACTAGACTATTGGTTGGTCTTAAAGTGTCAGACTGCACTGACGGTCCAGTCCATCTGATGTAGACTGGACCAGCAGTCTAGTCCAACTTTCACAGACTGGACCATTAGTCCATAGACTAATAGTCTCGACTGCAGTTTGAACTATTAGTCCTGTTAATAGTCCGGACTATTGGGAGCCCTGCTTCGATCCGAGGTCGCACCCGAAGAGACTGAGGAAGACCGTGTGGCTGCTGAGCATGCTGCCGTCTAAGAAGCCATCCGCCGCGTCGGGGGGGAATATGTATCGGAGAATCCTGTAGACCGCCCTGCTATAGCACAAGGGCTCCATATGCCGAAGCATCTCGAAGCCTCTGTCTACTCTGACAACAAGCGTAGGCGTGTTAGTGGCCCTTTTGCCGCTAGTAACCCAGCACCGCCCGAGGTTGTCCCAGAGACGGCTGAAGATATAACCATGCAGAAGTATATTTCCGCCTTCCAAACTCATCATTCGATTGATCCACTTCTAGGGACTCGACCGACGCGCATCCTCTTGGGATATTGGAAGCCGTCGAGTGAGGTTGACCCAAAGGACCGCCA